AACAATCCCAGTGATATGTGAGGAGGAAAATGGGAGCTTTGCTAAGCAGAAATGTCCTGTAGAGGTTGCAGTCACCCTTTTGTTCTGAATCGTGCAGTGACTGGTTATTACATCTTGTCAGAATGCATTCTACTGAAATTGTGTGGAAGAAATTAATGCAGTTGAGCTTATATCATCAATAAAACAAAAGAACAAGTAGTATTTATGTGGAATTAAATATAGTACTTTGTGTTGGTAGTGCCACAGCAGTGGATACAAAGTAGTATCAAAGTGCAACTGGCGAATAAATATAATAATCATGTACCAAAATAGTCATTATTTTGACATTTTCTATATCCTCTACCTTAAGAGATAATAACCCAATTTACAGAATTTTCTCATTTGGAATCAAAGCTTGTGAAAATCTTTCCAAAAACTTGAGAATGAAGGGTTTTGTTTGGAAATGTGAGAGATTGTTGCAAAAATCAAACTGTTCAGTTTTACATGCAGTGCATTTTGCCCGAAGAATTGAGCCAGGACATTCTGATTATTTTTCATTCATAATTCACTGCATTGCTCACAGCAAGAAAGAGTACGATCAAGGAAGCAAAATGTTTATGATTAATGTAAAATAAGGTAGATTAAAAAAGAAGGGATAAAAGAAACACAAAACTTAAAAAACTGGCATACAGAAAAATTGCAAGAAGTATGGAAAATTGGAGACTAAGAAAAGTTTGTTTTGGTTATATTAAATATTTTTAGTTGGAAGAGCTTCATCTAAATAAATACAGTGTTAATGAATGTTTTTGATTTGACAAAATTTCATCAAAATTTCAATCCATTTCATGGATTTTTTTTCCCTAAAAACTAAAAACTGTTAAACTAAAATGTTTAACAAGTTGTATTTTAGATATATATTTCTCAAATATTTTTTGCTTGAAGATTTATTCTTCAGATGCTTCTCAAGTAGTGGTGCTTTGGTCGTTTTGAATTGAAAATATATTTATTAAAAATTGTGAGCTGGAATGAAACCCTGTCCCTCTATGGAGGTGGCTTGGTTTTGCATCAGAAATCTGCCTCAGGGATGAGATTTTATATGGTGGGATGATACTGTCTGGTCACCCTGCTGTGTTGACCAAGGATGCGGTCTGCCGAGCTGTGGAAGCTTCTCTTCTCCCTCTTGCGGCGGAAGAGAAGGAAAAATAGTCTGGAAAACACTTTCATTACTAACTTCTGAAATGCACCTTAAGAAGGTGCTGTGGGATGGAGCAGCAATCAATGTTCACATTAACAGCTTCAAAGGTGTTGCTTTGGCAGGAGGGGAGAGCGGTTGGACATGGTGTCCCCTACAGTTTTCCTGGGGCAGCCAAGGTGGAGAGGAGGAGGTCAGATGGCAGTGGTGTTGTGGGTCAGCCAGCTGTGTGCCTGTCTCCAGCAATTGACGTAGGCTTGGGGGGAAATGTAGCAGACTTTCACTAGACCTTAGCAACTGCACCAGCCCATAGGTGCATTCCCAAATTTGCTAAGTGTGATTTTTGTACAGTTACAACTGGATTGGTAACTCATTTGGTCTCTGTGACCACAGACGTACTTGTTGGAGGTAGTTAGGATCATGTTCTAATGCACTGGCTATATTTACTGCACACAGTAAGGTCTTTGCTCCTGATACCTGCAATTCTAAATCCAATTGCCTGAAACCAAAAATATTTGTGTTTGTGCACAGATCTGCTTCCCATGGGTTGAGCTACTACAGACCTTTCCTCCACATCTGAAACTTCTTCATAGCTCATTGCTAAATTCTTATACTTAAACATCCCAGTGTGTTTGCTTTCCCAGATATCTTCAAAAAAAATTTTGAAGTTAAAAACAAAACAAAATAATTTTCAGCAGCAGAGGGATAAGATGTATTTCAGTTAGCAAAAATGGAAGAGTTCAGTATTCTAAGCTTAAAGTTAATGACAAGATAAATGCTCTAAATGTGGAATTATTATTGATTAAGGGGCTTAACATATTTATTTTAATTTCTAATTTTCTAAGTTTTTTTTTTTTTTTAAGCAAAATGCTCAGTGTGAACTTCATCACTCCTACTAACTTGTGTTGGCAGCATATTCTATTTTTCATGTGATCACTTTTTTCTTGATGGTGGCAGAAATTGGTATAAAATGTTCATTATCAGATTGTGAATATTTGAAAGTCTGGAGGGGACTGTTGGGGGTAGTGTGAAACCAGAGTTTCTGCTTCTGTAATCCTTTATTGATTAAAGGTCATTATTTTAATGCTGTTATTTTGGTAGGGTTAGTAATAATAGCTGGGTCTAAGTGCTATTAATAGTTTCAATAATACTATTGTTTTTCTTTCCTGAATGCATTTTCCTTACTTTAAGCAGAACAGCCATATTCATTTTCACCTCCACCTTCCAAGGAAGTGTTGCCAAGGCTTTTCTCTGAATGATGACCCTTTTTGGTTGTAGCCAAGGATGTAGAAGAGCCCTTTGAAATGAAAGGGAATGTGAGCCAATCAGCTGGGCAGCTGGCTGGCCTCCAGGAGCTCTGCTCACTGAAGCACAGGCTTAGTCATGTAAAGCCTCACACATTTTCCAACCTCTTGGCTAGCTGCTGCATTGCTGCAGTAGAGGTTCAAAGGCTACAGATGCTATTAGTCTGGGGCACAAAGGTGCACGAGCCTGTTATTCACCTGTGCTGCCTAGTGCCTGGCTGAAGTCAAAGGGAAGCCTCAGGCATAGGTAGCTTGAGGAAGCCCTTGTGTGGTACAGATAACAGAGGCAGGACAGTCATAAAGCCTCAAATAGCTGCTGTGAGCAGTAGTTTGTAGAATTCAAACCATACAAGTTACATAACTTGGTGTCCTAGTGGTTCACAGCCTGTTTCAGGCTTGTTGTGTACAAGTTTGATAGATGGCCATACTAACAGTGGACGACCAAATGCAGTTGAGGATGGTGTTCCTCATGAGCTTTGATCTGTACCTAAGCTTAATCTCTCTGCTTTCATCTATAATGTGGGGGTAATAAAACCAATACATGGCCATTGGGTAAAACTAGGGTAAGCATATATAGAATCGTTTGAGTTGGAAGGGACACTTAAAAGTAACCTAGTCCAGCACCCTGCAATGAACTGGGACACCTACTGCTCAATCGGGTTGCTTAGAGCCCTGTCCAGCCTGACCTTGGATGTCTCCTGGGATGGGGCATCTCTGGGCAGCCTGTTCCAGTGTTTTTTTCCTGCCAACCATGCTAAACCATGTTTCCTGTCTCTCAGATAATATATTATCACAATGGAAACAAAAGGAGTATCCCTTCATATCATCTAGACATACAGTCAGAAAACAAATGAGAATTCAATAAGAGAGAAGTACCACATGAAAGAAGGGTGCTATGATACTTGATTGTATATCAGTTTATACAAATGTGTATTTTAGCAACATGGTGTATTTAATGCAACCATTTATGCCTCGGGCTTGTTGGTGTTTGTCTGCAGTGTGACAGCAAGGTGGAAACGGAGGCAGGAAGAGCAGGAAGATTGCCAGAAACTAGGCAAGAAATGAGCCTTAGAAGAACTGACAAGAAAAGGCTATGACTTAAATCTTCAGGAAGAAAAGTTCAAAATGTGTCTAATGTAGAACTAGACCAGGTGAGCTAAGGACGTTGATTTGCACAACAGGAGAAAGAAAAGGCCTTACAGAAAAAAAGTCAGAAATGCAGGATGAAAACCAGGACAGAAGCACAGGGAGCGGGAATGGAGTGGCTCAGAGGGAGGTGTAGTGGTAAAGTCACGTGCTGTGGACAGGACAAGGATGATAAGAGTAGAGTAGGTTCTAAAGTTTGAGTGAAAATGTATATTACCTGTGAGAGCTGTTATAGTCAGGTGAAAGAAACTCAAAACTAGATTGCCTAGATTTAAGCATAGAACTGACGGATCAGAACTCATAGTATCTTAATATCTTCCTGAAAAAATACAATTGACTAAGAATACGATTAACTAAGAAACTATTGCAAAACTGCTGCAGCTACAGTTAGCAGAATCTGACTCCCTCTTTTTAAGAAGGTAGGTGGATGGATGGATGGATGACAGACAAATGGATGGATGGACGGACAGATGGTCAGAGTGCTCGCAGGATTTGGCTTTGGAACTCACCCTGTTTGCTTCCTGCCATGCTCAGATTGGTCATGATGAAAAAATTGGCTTTGTCTTCAGCTGAAACTTCCATGCATATTAATGTTTTCTAAAGAATGGATCACACAGATCCTTATATGGGCACTAAAAACAAAGGCTATTTGAGTAAATACTGGGAAAGGGCCCACAGCTTCCTGAAGACTGATAGCCAGATTTCTTTCTGCATGCCTATTGCATCCTGTTGATGATATGACACTTTTTCCCCAGTTATGTCCAAAACACATTCTGCATTAATCAGATAATGTAACTTTCCATGATCTAACCCTAAAAAATGTAATTTAATGATTTCGCCCCCGCTGCCCCCGACTCTTTTTGACAACTGAGTTTTTCCTTATGTTTTCTCCAACCATTTTCAAACTCATGCCAAAAACTTTGGCACAAGTTATTATATTGTTCTCTGAGCAATATTTGTGGCATGATTAATGTGTGACTTGCTACCTGAAGCTTAATTAAAGCCTTAATCTTTCAAAGGCATATCCACAATCCTTACTGCTCTTGAATAAGGAATCCTGTGAAGGCCAGTAGGACTGTGGACATGAATACAGATAAACCACAAGTATCTTACGGATCTAAGTAGCTCAGCACGGTACCCAAAACCAGCCTTATGCACAAGGGACCGCGTTCTCCTTCAGCTTTGCAATGACTGCATGGTAATTAATGGGTATATCATATGCGTGGCGCTAATATGAAAAAAAAGAAATATATTTTTGAATTAGGCAAAAGTGAGTTATTAACTTCCCTCCTCACCCCTCATGTGGTACTTTCCCCACACTGTGTCTGACGCTACTCATATTAGATATAAATGAAGACAACTTCTTTGTTTTGTTGTAGTTGCAGGTGGAACTTGATCAGGAATATCAAGACAAATTCAAAAGACTGCCTTTGGAAATTCTGGAGTTTGTACAGGAAGCCATGAAAGGGAAAATCAGTGAAGATGGAGACCACAGTTCTGCCCCCTCTTCTCTGGCATCTGACAGTGGGAAATCAAATCATAAACCTCTGCAAAGTGAAGAGGAATTGGAAGAAGACAATTCAGAAAAAGTGTTTGATACTACTTTTTAACTGCCCAAGCACTAATTGGTGCGCCAGGGCACACCACTCCCCAACTACTTGGCTCTGCTTTCCTGATGTGAGCTGCAAGTGAAGCACTTAGGAAGGCAGGAGGAATCTGTATTCAAGTGCACATTTCCCAAAAGGAACGTTTTAAAAGACTTGTGCAAAGGTCTTCATTCCCATTCTTCAGCTTATTATTATGCTAAAGCGTAGTGCAGTTGTAATGGGAAAATTAATATGTTCACCATCCTCTCTCTCTCTTTTGTTGTTTTTTTTGGGGTTTTTTTTGGTCAATTTTCAATGGGTAATTTTCTGACCATGTTCACTGCTAGGAATGTTTAATGAAGACCAGTATATTGAAAAGAGACAAATGTGTGCAGATTTCCTTTTGAAGTGCCAGTGCAAAGTACTCTAAACTAATACAGATCCTAGAGAATATTATAACAGTACTTAATTATATTTGTTTCCTACTTTATAACTGCACCTTGACAACCGTACCATCATCTTACATTTGCACTGAAACATTTAATCCTTTTTAGCTTTGCAAGCACTGGTGGCTTGCTGTCTTAATATTATGTTTATCACGGGGACAGAAATATAATTGCTGCTGAAAACTCTTGGAACTGTGGAGAAGAGAGAGAAAGAGAAGAAATTTGCCTGGAGATTGTTGGTGTTTGTGTACGTCCGTGTTTGTTACACCGTGTGAGTGCATATATGTTGGTGTATATATATATGTGCACACACATCTGTCTATATGCACACATGGCATGTTTATATTTGAAGTCGATGTGGTCTCTTGGTGAAATGAAAAGTTTCAGGGATACGTGTATAGAGAATCTTTATGAAAGCTAACATCTGGGTTGTACTGATATAAAATAGTCATTCAATCATAAAGTTCTTTTTGTGGTGTTAGTGTTGTAAATCAAAGTAGTTTTAGAATATAAATTTGATATATATTTTGCAGACTTAAAAGTATTGATTTTAAGTATCATATTTTAAGCTTACTGAATTTGATAGGATTATGAAATGTTTAGGACTACAGTATTTGAAATTGAGCAGAATCTTCCATTATTTTTAAGACCGAGGTTCGGTTTTATTACGGTCTGGAATTTAAAAGGCAAAATATAAAAACCTGATCATTGATATTTAAAAATATATATTAATCCATTTAACTGACTAAAATAAGAAGAATCAAAGTTTATGTACTGTATGATATGCATGAGAGAAGTAACAGCACATTTTCAGAAATTTATATCAAATGACAAAGAGACTTCATGAAAGTAGGATATATGAAAAGGTAAAGAAATGCTATTCTCTGGCATCCCATATTAACAGAAATAGGAATTATGAAACATTACAGATTGATTCTTGTTTGTGTCCGAGCCATTGCGTGATGCTAAAGGCTCTTCCCTAGGATGTGTAGTGAAAAGGCGTGCAGATTTGCATAGAGAGGCTTGGTCCTGCAAACTCACATCCACAACTGACACTGCATACCGCTGGGCTCAGTGGAACTTCTTTAGGTTAATAATGTTCATATACGTGTTTGCAAGATCGGGGCCTTACTTTGTATTCAGCAGTGGAGAAAGAAATCAATTGCATAGGGAGGCATTTTAATACATCATAACAAGAAAGTTACTTTTCTTCCTTTCCCTCAGGATTTTAGTACTTTAAAGTAACATTTTATTTGAATTTAAGCAATAAGATTCAAATTGAGATTAAGATTTCAGTTAAGGAATTGTGTATATATTTAAGTTCAAATTATGGAAGACAAACAGTATTTTCATGTTTCTTTTTTAAACTTAGAGTGGAAAAAATTGCACAGTTTGGAGATTGTATTTTGGATTAAAACTGTCTTGATTTATGATAATGAAAGTAGTGAGCATAAAACTCAAAAATCTGACTTCCATCTTAATACTAGGAAAGGGGAATCCTCTGTAAATCTTTATTTTGCACTTTGAAATCGATATTAATCATTTATGGAAAATGAAGAGTCAAGATGTAATGCTGCATTTTATAAAGTGAAAATGACATTGTTTAAATTATTAGAAGAATAAACTGATAGCAGTGTTGACAATAAAACTGAAGACTGTCGCATTACAGAACTCATTGTACAGTGCAGGCTTTTAGGTAAAATCTTAGCTCCTTTGAATTTCACTGGTACACTCCCATGGACTTCAGCGGAGCCAGGGTCTCACCACAGTCTTAGAAGAAACTTGGGCAAATACCAATTAATCTTTTATTTATATTTAAAAATACAACAAAACTATTCTGGTTGGGTTAAGTATACTATCGGCTGTAGTCATTTTACAGTACGTTTGTATTTGACCATTTACTGTACTCACATTTTTTTATATCTGTACAGTGCCACTTTCTGCAGGTGTAAGGTAGTGTGTAATACTGTACATCTTGCATTGTTCAAACTATTTCAGTGAAACAGATTTCATTTAATATTGATATTACTTGAACTAGAGTAAGATAATGAAAAAGGGTCTTTATGATGTGCAAGTCTTGTGCCTTTTATGTATTTGCCTTGTTCCGTGTTGAATGTGTGGAAATGCTGTATTGTGGATTTTCTGCTGTATAGAATAGAGCAGTCTATATTAAACTAGGTCGTGCACTTCAGATATCTTTACACTACTGAAAATAGCTTGGTTTTGGCAGTATAAACAGAATTTTAAAAATTCTAATGACAGCCAGACATTTTAGATTTAACATGTTCATAATTATGTTAATTAATGCTCATGTATTAGCTAAACATTCACTGAAAGATAACTAAAGGGACATCATTGCTTGCCTTTCTTTCAAATCAGTGTTGCTCTTGTACATTGTATTAATAGTGTCTGTAATTGATTAGTCCTTGATGATTTGCTTTCAAAGTAGGATGAAATATTTCAGTTAAAATGTATATATTTTTTTTGGTTCTTCAATCTATGATTGTTTCAGAGGCATAATTCACATTTTTGTAAAAATTCTATGCAATTTTGTGGCATGATGTTTCTTCCACTTGTAATTTTATGTGCTTACATTACAGATCCAAAGGACAAATAAAAATTTCTTAACACAAGGTGGTTGTTTTCTCTGTTCATTCACTCACAAGTGGCAGTTGACTCCGGAAACCTTCCTGACCTCGAAGACCTTATGCCGAGCCCTTTGCTCACAAGAAGAGCAGTGGCACAAGGCACCAACAAATTCCCCCCATAGGCTCTTCTGTTCACAAAAGTAAGAACAAGAAACTGTATGTAAGGGTCTCCTCTGCCCCTCACAGGGAAAATGTGCATTTGCTGCTCTTCTGAAAAAAACAAAGAAAACAGGAAACAGGAAAAACGCATGGCAGCTCATGAACCACTAAGAATATCTAATGGTTTACACAACAAGTTATAGAAGAACAATTGCATGATTTTTCAGTCATACCTGTAAAATACCTCAACATTTTAGAGCTGCCTTACTTCTTTTCACTTCCCCAGATGTGCTGCTAATCATCTATGCAATTATATATGTGCTGTGAATTGTACCTGTGCAGAGGCCTTCCACTGAGAGCACTGGAAAATGAATCTGTTCCTTTGGCTTTTGACTTTCCCCATTTAATTTACAATGTAAAAGATTATCTCTGGGAGAAGAGATAAGCAGGTACATTAATCCAGTGTACTAAGGGATATACCTATTAAAATAAATAGTCCCCAAGGCAGTGAGACTCGAATTACTTACTAGAAAAGATTTGGGGAAATGGGGTATGAAGAGAGGAATGGACATGGCACAGTATAAAAGCAGAAAGGAAGTAAGGAATAGAGATAAATGTTGAGACCAGGAATTTGACAGAGAGGCCAAGAATAGGAACGAAATGGAAGGGGAAGACAGCAAAAGAAAAGGAAAATGGATTTATTTCCTTCTCAAAGAAGGAATAGTGGAGTGTGAAACCATCAGGAGCAGGGTTTGCCAAGGCTCCATCATGATAGGAGGCAAGGGGGAGGTAAGAGTGGAGGTGGATGGGAACTCAGTGCAGATGAACAGGGCTGAGAAGCAGCGTGGCAGAGAGACTTACAGGAGCATGTGGGTGAGACTCCAAGAGGAGGGCGGACAGTGGCAGCGAGCACAGTGAGAGAAGCTGGAAGACCATGGGGAGGATTGTGAAATAATCCCTGGCTCCTGGGAGGGATTGGCAGGACCGGATTCTTACAGTCAGCCGAGCAGACATCCCCATAACTAGTTGTACTTCAGCAACAGGAGACATATTTGGTTACTGAGGAAGAAGGGCAACAGTGTGGAAGAGCAATTTGGAAGCCACCCAAGGGACAGCAGTGTCACAGAAGCCAGGCAGCAGGGGCAGAGATGTCTACTTTTGTGCAGCTGTGGACTCCAGGCAAAACAAGACTGGTGGGGTCGCTGAAGCTTCAGGTGGATTCTACAAATGGTCCTGACAATGCCAGAAGAAAACCAGTCCCACTACAGCAGCAGAAAATCTGTTACTATCAGCTAAGGAAGGTGACTCAAGACTTGGCTTTGCCTTCAAAGTGAATGCTTTAATGACTAACTCCAGTGCCTGGCTCCAGGCTGAGTATTTGATCTTCAGCTCCAAGAGCCTTAAATTTCTTCTTTCACGGTTAAGTTGCTTCCAGGCAAGGGCTGGAGGATGCACAAAAGTAAGTGAAATATTGGGGTGAGGGTACATCAGGGATTGTTGCTGAGCAGTATGAGGAGTTCAGAGCAGGTGAGCAGGGTTAAGGACTGTACAACCAGGCCTCCTAAACTATGGGCATGCTCTCACACCCCCAGGAAGTCATTTCAGGGTAAGCAACTGTACCTCTGGAAGAAATGAATGGGGATTTGAAGGCACAAAGGCTATTATACCCTCAGACTTCAGGAGAGTTCTGAGCATGAGAGCTGCAAAAATCAAAGCCTTGCTAGAAGCATTCAAGCTGCCAAAGCCACCAAGATTCAGCTGCAAACCTGAAGTCAGCATTTCTTATTGACTGATACTGATTAGCTTTAGTGTCTTCATGTGGCTTGTTTGGGTTTCCATTCAAACACCTTTCTAAGAAGTATGTCTCTCAAGATCTTAACTCTACATCTGATCTTCATGTCTGACATCAAATATAAAAGAACCAGACAGAGTGTTAATTTGAAAACAGACAAATCCTCTCCCACATTTAGCACTAATCATTCATAGTCAACATCAGAATACCAGACCACTTCTTTTCTGTGACCCTACTACTATTTCCCACAGAGTTGAAATGAGGACCTCCCTGCCCAGTTCTTCCCAGAAGCAGAGCATCTCTAAATATGCACAACAAGATTTACTTAGACATAATTAGGGCTAGTTTTGCCTCAGACAGGATCCTGGCCTTGCTCTTCTTCAAGAGCTCAGTAAGAGAATGATACTGTCCTATAAGAAAAAAGAATAACTACCCAGCAAAAGGGTCTGAGTAGGACATTAAAGCCATGTGCAAGAAGCAGCTGGTGATGATCACTGTATGGAAACTGCTGAGTTACAAGCCCAACCACTGATTGGGCACCTGGGGAAAGTACCCAGTCAGCCCTGGGAGCACAGGTGAAGGCAATTCAACTGACGAGTAGGGGTGGAGCCTGGCTGTACCTCTCTTAGACCTCATTTAGGGGGTGACTGGGATGGGGGAAGGTTCTTTTGCTGGAGATCCCTCTTTGATGGAGCTTTCCCTGTGTATCTGGAATCTTCTGATATGGGTGAGTGATCTTTTTCTCTTTCTTTATAGTACCTTTCTATTGTGCTTGTTCTTCTGTTATCACACTTCTGTTACAATGCCTTTCCTCTTGTACTGATCTATCTAATTGCTGCAATCACAAAGTTAAGGAAGCTGACCAAGGAAATGTATTCTGGGTTTAAGAAGTTTCTAAAAAGAGAGGCTTTCCACCGAAACACACTAATAATACAGTCAGAAGGAGAAAAGACTTGATCTGTGTTGCTTTTTACAATGTAATTGTATAGTGGAAATGCTAAATCAGGACTTGAGCTGGTGATTGAGCACCTGGTAGGAAGGCAGGGTCACCCCAGGGGAGCTCAGATGCAAGCAATACTTCTGAGTGACCAGTAGGGGTGGAGTCAGGATCAGACTTCACTTAAGGGTTAACAGTGGAGGTAAGGGGCTCTCATTAGAGAGCATACCTGAGGTCTTCTGAAGGTAAGAAACCTCTTTCCTTTATTTCTGTGCCTATGGCTGTTGGATTTGAGCAAATCCTCAGTTACTGTAGCCTGAGACCTTGCTACTCTGCTTTCACTGCTGTGCTTTCCATTTCATTACAAATTGTTTTCTGTTTCTTCTAAATGTGAGCCTTTTGAGGTGTGTTTCTTGAATTGTTTGGGATTCATATGATGGGAATAGCATATATGTGCTATGAAAAAAGGATCTCAGAAATAAAAGAAAAATCTAAGTGTTCAGCTCTCAAGCAGTGTAAAGACCAGAGGTAACACATTGCCTATTGTATAACTGAGACAATTTTAAAAGCTTGATTTTTTTGTGGGATGGCAGGCTAAAAAGTACTGTGCGGGAGCATATTGTGCCTAATGAAAAGGGCTGCTCAGACTGCCTTGCCTCAGAAAAGGTTAACCAGAACAGGTAGAAGGGCTTTATGTAGCATGGGAGGGGCCAAGTTCTAATTAAAAACAAATTGAAGCTAACCTGGCAACTGTAAAGAGATTTGAAACTTACTCTACTGTATCACTGGTATAAGCCTAGCTACTGAGCAGAGAGCTTTCATTGCTGAAAACTAGGATGTAATAAGTATTTCCAAACTGCAATGGGTAACAGATGTATTCAAATGTGTAGATGTAGCCTCTGTAACAGGGACTGAATCTCTTAAATAGAAACTTATTTTGTTCTATTCTTAGGTGATGTTTCTAGTTTAGTTAGAGTGGCTGTTTGTCTAATCTCTTAAAAGCAGCAGAGAACTGCAAGCAGAGCCAGGGAAATGCTTTCAGTTGGGTGAGAGATAAAAGGTGTGAAATATTCTGTCCAAATCTTGTATCTGGATTTTCAGGAAGGTTCCAGTATATTGTGATCTGAAAGTTGGGCTTACGCAAGAAAATCACTGGAAGTTGATGATCTCTCAAGTCTCTTGGAAAAGCATAGTGAGAGCTGACAGATGGAAACTGTAAGCAAGCAAGTTAGAGATGATGAACAATATTTTTTTTTTACCTTCTGTATAAACGTACCAGAGGTCATTAATCATAAGTACTAAAAGTAGATGTAGATGATGAGCTGCAGAGGACATGTTGTGTGACTTGCATTGTGCAGTCCATGCAGGTGCAGCGGAGAGGGGGGCAATGGCTGCCATGTGTGATCTGATCCAACTGTCTCTCTTGGACTTAAGGTCCATACATTTTTTTCACAACATCTTTCTTCTCTTGAAGAGCTTCTTTCCCCCACAGCAGGGCACTTCACATAAAAGGCTGTGATTCCCCTGTGAAGGCTTTGCAGTGTCCTCTTAGTTGTCAATGTTTATAGCATAATCATGAGTGTGATCTTTGTGGTTGAGCAATATATGATGTGTCTCAATAATGTGGCTCTCTCCAAGGACTTTAATCAGTAAAACTGGTAGCTCAGGCACTATCTCCAATAAATGGAGTAAGTCAACCCAAGTGCCCTCAGAGTTTGCCTAGGTCTGGGATCATGTTTGTGTTGCATGTATTCTGGATAAATGCTGCTTAAGGAGCAGGCCCTTTATTCATTCATGAGGGGAACATATAAGGTGTCTTTGGAATGCAGAAATGCGATTCTTGGATGTGTTCATAGCTTTTTTTGGGAGGTGGAAATGGACATTCTTGATTCTTTGTTGTTTGAAATTTCTCTTACTGCACTGTGTAGGTGCTTTCAGTTTCTTGCTTAAAGAATGGTGACCACATCCTGATGGCACCCTGCTGTCTTCATGATAGCAACAAAACAATTACTTTGTTTTCCCTGAGGAAATTCAGTTTGAGGTATGCATGTGTGCTTCCTTTGTGCTGGAGTTATTATATAAAAAGCAATGGTCTTCCATTTCCATAATTTAAAACCATATCAGTCTTAACAAATCCCTGTTCTGTCATTCTGGTGACAGATCAGGGAGTGATGATAACTTTCTTGTGTCAAAGTAACTAATGAGAATGAAATTATCTGGCTCTCTGTGGAAATGCTGCTATTCTCAGCTCCTGCTGGGATGCTGCTGTTTTCCACTGGCAGCTAAAGTGCAGACCCTGGCAATGCTGCAGGTCCTGTGATGGAGGGGTTGGGGTACAGAGATAGGAGTTGGTAAATGTTGCAGATATTGGTAGAAAGATCAGGATTTAACTGCACCTGCTTTGCTGGGATAATCTATTAATTGAGGAGGTAGTTATCTTGCCTTGTGAAGTTAGTAGAGCCAAAGTTTTATTTTTTCTGTGTTCCAGTCACTTCCAAGCACTGGGATAATCAGTGATGTATGATTTTTCTATGTGTAGCACTATCTTAAAAACAGTTGTATTAAAAACAGCATGGGAGCTGCAAATCACATGGAAAGGAGCAGGTCTTTCGTACAACCTGATTCCTCCAGCAGGTTCCTGCCCTACTCCTCACCCCTATTTTAGTTTTGAAAAACATTTCAATCCCTTTGGCACTAGCTGATGATCTACAGCAGCTTCAGCAGAAACTCATGATGGTTGAGGCAAGGAAAATACCTCCCATCTCCAACTGCTGTGTTGGCACATGCATTCTCTGGCTGCTTTGCATCCCAGTCCTAAACTTATGAAGTCCATTTAGTGTTTGCTCTAATGTATCTGCAGAGCCAATGGGGAGCGTAGGTCCCACTTACTGCACTTAATTTCTGAGCACTTTGGAGCATCTCTAGAAGTAAAGAACTGTCTTTATAAGATGATGCTTATAACTACTTGTTCCAGACAAGGATTTCTTTGCTGTGTCTAGAAGTATAGAGGATAATTTTTAAAGGTTGAAGTTGGCCTGTAATCCAATTGCAGGTGGAGGAGGACTGCTCACTACTGTGTCCTCCTCTCCCACACCTCCCCTTGCCTTGTGGTTTCTGTGCCTCTGGCTCTTTTGGGGCTGGGGTGAAGCCTGTCTGCAGAAATGTGGTAGTGCTGCCTCTACCACTACTGCTCCATCTGCTCACACACTGCACAGACTTCTACATCAATCAGTTGCTAATAATGAATTTTAGCCAATTTTTAATTTAGAGTGTATAGTGGAAATGCTAAGTCACAGCTTGAACCAGTGATTGATCACCAGGTGGGAAGGCAGGGCCAACCCAGGGGAGTACAGGTGCATATGAGTGACCATGGGGTGGAGCCAGGATCCACCCCTTCCCAGACCTCATTTAGGGGTTGGCAGAGGAGACAAGGGGGATCTCCCTGGAGATCCCTGTGTATCTGATGCCTTCTGAAGGTAAGCAGCTGCTTTCTCTTTTTTTGTGTCCACAACTGTTGCATTAGAGTGAATCCTCACTCACTGCAGTCTGGGATTTAGCTGCTCTGCTGTCACTGTTGTGCTTTCCATTGCATTACGAAGTGAAAATCCGAAGTTGTTTTTTTTGTGTCTGAAAAGCTGTTTTATACTTTCATAAGAGACATCAGAAAAGCTCCATCAGTTACAAGGGTCTCTTCAAGGGAACTAATTATTGTGCTAGGCATATATCTATTCTGAGAACTTGGATATATCCACATGCTGCTGAAAGTCCTTTGAGGGTCTTAGAGCTCACCAGAGGATACTCTGCTTTGTGTGTGTGTCAACATGCACACTTCTTTAATGTATGCTCTAGGAAGGAGCTGGGCTGCAAACCCTATGTTCATAACTCAAAGTGGTGGTGTTCTTTTTTTGGAGGGGAGGGAAGATTTTTTCTAAATTTCTTTCTTATATGTAGATCAACTTATATTTGCCTTAGGTCATTTATTTAATTGTGACTACCCACTGCAATGCTCTCAAGGAACTGGACATAGGCCCTGCTAATGTCTCAACTGCAGCAATTAACAGGCTGCCTTTGGGTTTTTTTGGCAGGGGAAGGTTAGAATTAGGCAGAAGGTGATAGCCAACAGGTGCAATGTTGTCTTATTTCTTGAATGGATTTCAACAAGATTTTAGGGAGCAATCAGGTATTTTTTATCTTGTTTATCAGCTCAACAAATGCCCAGGAAGGCTGAGGTCTCCATCCCAGTTCAGGATCTTTTCTGACCCTTATGGTCATTCTGGTTATAGTGTCAACAGCGCTTTTCACTCTTTTCAGAGCTACAGATATTAAGGTATGCAGGTTACAGCGAGGCTTTAGGGGTATTTTAGGGTTGAAGAGGGAAGTAGAGGTTCTAATTCCCTTTGTTTATACTATGTAGGTACTTTTTGCCTTAAAAACTTGGTCTCCAAACCTGCATGGGAAATGTTAAGGCTCAGTGTGCTACCTGAAAATCGCCTGAAACTCAGGTGGAGAGGTTGCATTTCAGTAATTATTCCCATCCTGAGCCTGCTGTGGGGGAGGGCATCAAGACCTGTACAAATCTCAGCTTCCGGTAAATGTGACACTAAGAAAATCACCGTTTATGCTGGAGTCATCCTCATTGTGCAGAAGGTGGTTTGGCAGATCTTTTTCCATATCCTCAGAAAGAGGAGTTGTGCAAAGCTAGTGGCAGAGAAAGCATCCCATAGCCCTGTGTGGAACTCGGAGGTGATGTTACTCCTTGCAGAAAGACAAAACAGAACAGTGTAACAAACATATTCCAGTCTCTCATCTTTTGTACTTCCAGATGGCTGTTACAAAACACAGACATGGCATATGCCTGAATCTGAAACAGATGACATAACTTCACTGGTGGATCATCTAACCCTTTTGTGTCTGGACCTTACATCCTTTGGGTGCATTACTAATCCTTGTGGCTCTCCAAACTAGATTTTTCTTTAATGTCTCTTTTTGATAAAAGATCCAAATGGCTAAATGGTGTAAATTATTCTTTCTGCAGCCTATTATAGAATATGATCACTGAACTGCCACCAGATCAGTCTCCTTCAGATAGTGGAAGAATATTATGTTCATCATCCAGCCAAGAGAAGGAATGAGTCCAATCCGCATCAGCTTTCAGCAACTCAGCATCATGGATGCAGATGGTGCAAGTGCTGTAGGATATGCACTGAAATTAGTTTTAGAATGGCCCTAAGAACTGGGGCCATAATAGTGTAGCGTATCTGCTGTGGGGTGGTGGCCCAGAAGTGTCCTGAAGGGCAGGAATTGGGCATGTAAGGCACCCATTTGAGAGTCAAGCTTGGACATCCATGAGACTTCTTTACACAAATAACTAACTTGTTTGTAGTGATAAAAATTGTCAGTAATCTTACCGGTGCTTTCAGCGATTACTGACTGCATTCTTGTACTTACTTTATAAGTGGCTGAGGTGGGACTGTTCCTAATTTGGGAACTGGAAGCTGTTTTCACAAGACTGCAGGATATGATGCTTCTAAAAAAATCAATAAACATAATAACATGTACAGTAAAATCGAAGTTAGCAACTCTAAATTAGAGGAGGCTAAAAAGTCACTAACCCTAGGAGCTATAGAGAACAGGTAGTTGATTAAAAGTGTGCAATATTTTTACAAAAGGGGGAAAAAAGGATGGAATATGTTTTCATACAATGATTTTTGGCTATGTTTCTGGCTACTGTTCCCTACCTCAGCAGGAATACAGGCAGTAGTCAACAGTGCCTGATCCTGCTTTCCCTGACAAAATTGCAAGTTGTCACTGGTTGCAGCAGGAACAGGACTAGTCTTTCTTACAATGAATTACACCAATTTACTAGGCAATGTTCCATTTGAGCCACACTGTGGATCTGATTGCAAATGGAGCCTATTCAGATATACTAACAGCCAGGTATTTACAATTGCTGCTGCTGGATTCTGGCTAAATCTGTGCTCTGTTGACAAGAGAATTGTAAGGCAGGAAATGAAGATGGCAACATCCCATTCAGACACAGGTCTGTTAAGAAACCCCTATTGCTACGAAGACATTTCTGCTGTTTGCTTAAAAAGGGTATTAATTTAATGAATGCCTTTTCTTGAATGATAAACACTAAGTCTAAATTTAGGTGACTGGGAGGTATTACTTCTGTTACTTCCAACTGTGTAGCTCCAAAACAATGGACTACATACAATTTCCTGAACATACTTCTCAGAAGCAATCAAAAAAAGACTGAGTGGAGATGGGGATATTATTTGTCCTAGACAGGTCACATCCCTGATCTGATGCATCATGTGGGTCTAAAATACTTGCATAGCTCAAGTGTGGGAGCAGCTGTGGCATGTGTCCAAGGCAGGACTTTGCCTTTTTTTGCCTTTAGTTTTGCTAAATGTAACCTGACCTTTATCCTTCACTGGATCATCGTGGTTCCTTTGCAGACACAAGTGAGGGGGACTGAGGAAAGCTCTACAGAACAGTGGTAAAACACTCAATACTAGAAAGGCGTGCGTGTGATTAACTCTTTTCCAAAGTGTGTATTTGAGATAGGGTTTGTGGTTTAAAAAGATTTCTATTGTAATTCACAGTAGGTAATTGCTAGCTAGTGTCATAGACTGAAATAGAATCAGTTTGTTTTTCCCATGTTCACTTCTAAAGGTGTGAGATATGCCCTATGGTTCTCAAGAGTTTCTGGTGGCGAAGTAGGACTTTTCAGTGACAAGAGAAGATACAGCTGGAAATGTAAAGCTCCCAGTTCAATGTGAAATGATAATGATAACATGGGCTGCTTTGAAATTGTTCTCTCAAATCAATGTTAATGAACCAGCAGCCATGTGCACATACCCTGAGACAGTGATTGACATGAAAAATGTTATTTCTTTGTTATCCTGGGATCAGATGTGTTGGCATTGACTGTATTTTAAACTAGTTGTGAAAGTTGAACAATACCAACCCTAGAAGCTATTTATAGCATATTACCATTTCAAAAGAGACTTTTTTTCAAGTCTCCTGAATGGCATTAATATTAAATCCTTTGGAAAATCTCAAAATGTGAATTTCCAGTGAGTCCCCTATGACAGATCATCTCCCATGAGAAAGAATGAGGGGGGGGGAATGTAGCTCAGCAAATCTGACAATTTAAACATCCCCAGAGAAAAACATAACCAATGAAATTATTTTTGTGTATGTGCTGGATTTGGGTGAGGGGGATGTGTTTGTTTTGCTATGCGGATGACCACAGGCACTTCTGCAGAGTAGAAGATAGATTTTAACAGGTAGTGAAACTGTGCATCTAACTTGGGATCAGTGGCCTAATAGAAACAGTTGGAAACTGACGTTTTAAAAAATATCTCAGTCCTGTCTTGGACCAGGCAGCCAACACCGCAATTTTAGTGTACATGGATGTAAGTTGTGAGGAAAATAAGAGCATGGACTTATCTACACAGACTTGGAACTCTTGGGGCAAATGTTCCAAATTAAGAATGAAAACATACCACAACTTACGTCAAAACTATAAAAATAAGCATTTTGCAGAGCTCATGCCCTGACTGAAGTCAGAATCCTCATCCAAAACATGCAGAAATGACTTTTAATTACTCCAGCTCATGACAAATGAAACTCTCATTGGTGTTCCACAGTTAAAATATCTGCCTTATCTTGATTTTTTTTTCCCTGTAACTATTCCCAGATGTAAGAGGTACTGTATAAATATCCAGAATAGCAGTGTGATACCTGTAGCAGAGGACATAGGAAAGGGGGAAAGAAGAAAGCAAAAGAAAGCAAAAAGCCTTATTTGTAGCTTTTACAATATTAATGTTGTATGATTAGTTTCCTGCAAAGCCCTAGGAAAGCCCGTGGACCCATTGCATTAAACCTTGCCATAAAAGTATGCACAAAAAAGCAGGCAAGGGAAATGTTCATTTTCTGTAGAACTGAGAGCCTCTCTGTCCACCTTCAACAAGCTGCACTGAGGCAATGGATGGAATAGAGAATAAAAATGGTTTTCAGTTGTGCTGGTTCTCAAAATGCCTCAGCTATGAGCAGAGCTGCTGTGCTTAAATAGAAGCGTTTTCCCGTATTCCATACAGATTTATAAGGTTAGCTACCAGTTTAACTGGTACTAGCTGTATACTCCTCTACAGGCAAGAATGTATTGCCCTCTTGATGGACAGAGTATTTAGCCCAAAATGAGCAGTATTGTGTCTCAGTGTCTATTCTGGAGTGTGGGTGAGGTGTCCTGCATACTCTAAAAATGACCTCTAGAACAGATTCCCTGCAGGGACTATGCTCTGAGCTATTGTATGAGGAGTGCAGAGGCTGAGTGTGCTCATTAAGGAAACCAGGTTTTTGGACAGCATCAAGAAAAAGTTTGGAAAGCAAGAAGTTGAAGTTTACTAGCAGATATGCATGAGGTTTGAAGAATTAAACTTTGAGAATGTAACTGACACTTTTTGGCACCATAAAATACTGAAGGCTCTTTGACCCGGTGACTATGCTATCAACTGAGACTGGTGTCAAAACCTGGAAGTAATTTATTAGATGTGAAATGTTAATGCTTTTGCAAAGGTACTGGTTTACAGCAGAAGGTATCATGACTTCCCCAGCGATACTATGTCAGCTTGAAAGGTGGAAGTTATCCACAAAGCTTCATTCTTCATCAAATTTCTTCTAACAGCAAAATCACAACCTTCTGCCTAAGAGATACATGCCCACCTCCTTGACATGCTACAAAAGCTGTTTGAATATATGACTGAGCTAACAGCAACAGCATGAGACAGCATAAAAAAGTGGGAGATTCCCATCAAAGCACAGCCCAAGATGGGACAAAGTGGCCAGCAATGCTGGAGACCTGGTGCCTATCAGTGGAACTGTTAGTAAAAGTGTTAAGACCGATGCAAGTGGGAAATGTATGTGAAAGCATTGGATGAGGTGAGCAGCAGTAAAAAGGCATTGAGAAGGTGTGTACTGTTGGCACACACATTAGAAGGCAATGAAGCATCCAACACATCTACAGGCAGCTTCTCAGGCTATCTAATGCAGGACACACAGGAGAATGATACAATCCTAATACCTCACAGTAGGACGTGGGGAGAGGCTGACCTTCACTGACTCCTAATGGATGTAAGAAGGCATCTCCAAAGCCAGTGTCTGGTTGCTAATGGAAGGAGTTGACAGACGTGTCTGTAGAGACCATTTTTTATCCATGGCATTATGAAAGCTCCTGGACACCAGCAGCCTGGTGTCTGCAGAGGCTGCATGTTTTCAGCTGCTTGTGAGCAAGTGAGAACATGAATGAATTAATTCATTTTCCTTTGAAAACTAAAATATGATTTCATTTAAAAATATGGATTTGCTACACCAGGTTGCAATGTTACTTCCCACTGTTCAGTCTTTGCAACCTGATCTCCTGTAGAAGCATTTGATAGCATCATTGTTTTGTGAGTAAAATAACGACGTCAATCTGTAGAGTACTTAAAGCTTGTCTAAACTGCCAGTGAGGGTACCTCCTGCCAGCAGTGCTCAGGTGTTGCTCCTTAGGTTGGAAAATTTCCTTTTTGCTATGAGAGCCCCTTCACAAGAAATGTCAGGTGCAGGAGGGCATTCCCTTGACAGAAGAGAGATACTGACTGAGCCTACCTCGACTGTCAGGGTGCAGTACCAATTTGTGATATGCTGCCTAAGACAGAAGGCACTTCAGCTGGGAGAATAATTTGCAGTAATAAGGGATGAAACTTAACTTTTTTAGCGCTTGGCTTTAGTACATTTTTGCTTGACATGATGAATTTCTGGAGAATTTGACAGGCGTTTCCTGTGGGTAGGGCTCCACGACACCTGACTAGCAAGTCATCTGTGTTTCCTTACAAACTGTAACTGTTGAACAAATGCTTTCACCAGAAACTGGAAGGGAGTGCAGCTGGAGCTCTTCCCTCAGTACTTCTGTTGCTTTTTTTTTCCCAAAGCTGCAAGGGAATGGTAAATAAAAAGAAAACTGTATATGTGTATCTGTGGAAATAGCTAACAAATGAGCAGGATCAGTATAGAACATTAAAGTTAAAAAGACATTGTTGCCACAGAATCTGATGTGCAGCTTGTGTAGGTTGGGGGGAGAGGCATGTTTAGAGTTTGTAAGTTCCAGGTATATCCATTTCTGGCATGTTGCTGGATTACTGAGAGAGATCTCTAGCACTCATGTGCAGGGCAAAAAGCTATTCAGGAGAAGAAACAGTGTTTTTCCAGATGGATCATAACTAGCTATGGCCAAAACCCAAAGAATTGCTCAGGTTGGAAAAGACCTTAAAGATCATCAAGTCCAACCACAACCTAACCAAATTACCCTAACAATCCTGTGCTAAATCATGTCCCTGAACACCATATCCAGACAGTTTTTAAACACATTCAGGCATGGTGACTCAACCACCTCCCTGGGGAGCCTATTCCAGTGCTTAACAACCCTTTCTGTAAAGAAGTTTTTCCTGATATCCAACCTAAACTTACTGTGGCACAACTTAAGGCCATTTCCCCTTGTCCTGTCACCAATGAGAAGAGACCAACCCTGCTCTCACTGTAAGCACTCTTCAGATATTGGAAGAGAGCAATAAGGTCCCCTCTCAGCCTCCTTTTCCCCAGACTAAACAGTCCCAGTTCCTTCAGTTGCTCCTAATAGGGTATATTCTCTAAGCCCTTCTCAAGTCTTGTTGCCCTTCCTTGGACCTGCTCCAGCACCTCAGTGTCCTTTCTGTACTGAGGTGCCCAAAACTGAACAAAGTGCTTGGGATGAGGCCTCACCAGTGTCAAATACAGGGCAGGATTAGTTCACTAGTCCTGCTCACCACACCGTTCCTGATATAAGCCAGGATGCCATTGGCCACCTTGGCACGCTACTGGCTCGTATTCAGCTGATTGTCCATCAGTACACCAGGGTCCCTTTCCATGAGGTAGATTTCCAGCCACTCCTCTCCTCAAGCCTGTAAGGTTACCTGGGGTTGTTGTGACCAAAATGCAGGACCCAACACTTGGCCCTATTGAAACTCATACAGTTAACCTTGGCCTGTTGATCCAGTCTATCCAGGTTCCTCTGTAGTGCCTTACTCCCTCCCAGCTTGAGAAAAAACTCTATCTTCTCACTGGTATTTAGTCCTCTTCATCAGTGAAAGCTGGCATATTGCAGGACAGATGATTTTCCTGGAGTTTTTTTGCAGTACTTTACACTTCCCAGGAGTTGCTTCTATATGACTGTAATAGAGCTGTCAAAATAACAGCTTGAAGTAGGAGTTGTGATCACACCTCTCCACACATGCTGCCCCCACCTCCTGCGGCACCTGCTTGTAATGGAAGGCTTATGGATGGGGCCAAATCAAGGTGACACTGCCTGTAAGCACAGGATGTGTCTCAGTGTTCACTTGGCTGACCTTCCCAGCAGAGCTGTGCCTCAGATTCCTGCACACTTCTTTCTCCTGAAGTTTTAAGAATTTGGTCTTAACTGTGGTCTTGTTCTCCAGTGCTATCAGTGCTTGACTCAGCCTACCTACCACGCACTGGTCCCTGCACCTTCCTACAGTTTTGGTGATTTTTCTCTCTTGCTCCATGACTTCCAAAAGGTTTTTTGAAACCAACAGTTTTTTGCTCTTATATTCTGCCTTCTCAGGCTAGTATTTTTGCACTTGCTGAACTGCCTGTGTCATGCATGAAACACAGAAGACACTGCCCCAGCAGCAGCTGGCTGATAACACTGGGCTTTAAAAAGCAAGAGCTTCTGTAACTTGTTAGGGTAAGGAGGGCGGAGTTGGGATGAAGACTGGTTCATGTTCACTTTGAAATCACTTGAGTAGGCTACTGAGTGCACCCTCAGAAAGTACTCCCATACGCTTACCTGGCAAGGGAGAAGGCAACACCTCTGTGTGGGTGCAGTGCTCGTTCTGCCATGCCTTTACACCAATGATTATTAGAATTTGTCACATGCAAGTCACCTGCCAGCGTAAAACTGCGTAAAGTTGAATGGGTGGAAACAACAGGGCAAAATATTTATGAAGGGACTGCAATCACCATCCATCAATGTCCATTAGCGTTTGCTTGGAGACACCAGTCTTTTCCTCTTCATTAAATATCTTAAGTAACATAAACATTCCTGTTTGCAAGGCCAGCATTTTATGCATGAGAGCAGCATCTTTTGAAAACTAAAGCTGTAGGCTGTGCAGGTCCAATATATCGGCTCAATCAGATGTTTAAGTATCTCTGCAGGAATGATTGCTGTCATTTAATTTGCTGATTAGTGTTGTCATATCTATTTGTAGAATACAGTATAATTTATGGTGAGATCCCCAGAGGATCTTCAGCAAATGCTACAAGTAATTGAATCTGCTGATTTCTGAAGGTCAGATGAAAACTGAACATTATTATGACAAAGATTATGTGGTGATGTCACCAGATAGCTTTGCATTTAAAATTTGCATCTATTGATTGTTGCTGTAGACCAACCCTGAAAAAGATGAGTGAATAAAAATATGAAGGAGCCTAACTTCTATTTAAAAAAAAAAAAAAAACTGAGGTAAATTTTCAGCCCTTTTAGAAAAAAACTATACATTTCTTGAAAAGATGAAAAGTGAAGACTTGTACCACTGAGCCAAAGGGGGAGGAGAAGCTTCAGAGAGGTAATTTAGGGAAACGTCAGGAAATGGTTTGGGTTATCTTACTGAAGCAGTGGTTCACTGAGGAACTATGAGGCTGTGCTGCAACTCCCACACAAAGCTATGATGCCCCAAGCTGGTACTGCTGCATTCTGCTTCTGTTCCAGCAACCAAGCAGATTTCCCTCAGCAGTAAGACTAATTTTGTCTGAGTTGTAAAAACGAGGTCTTCCAATTTGGTTTGAACAGACTTCAGAGTTTTTCTGTAAAAGCTGGATGGAAACAGGATGAAGTTCACCTGGCAAGGTGCAGGGATGGCTGACTTCCTAGGACACTGGGTTACAGCATCTTGCTGAAGAAATGGTTTGCCAAAGGAACAAGGCTCTAAGTATGATGCTGAATTGTTTGCACCAAAAATTGCTCAGTGATAAGGAGTGGATATTTTTTCTGAAGAAGAAAAAAAAAGCCAAACTTCTCCATTCTTCTAGAATCCCTTTCAGCTTTCTGGTTTAGCATAGTTTCATCTCCTTCCCCAAAGGAACTTCTTGTAACAAAGTCAAAAAGGGATTTATTAAAAAAAAAAACAAAACTTGGCATGCTATGAATAGGCAAGACACAAGGAGTGGGTTGAAGCAGTTTGGAGAGAATATCACTAGAAGGCTGCTGCAAGCCACTGTACCCTGTATGGTGCATAGCAGCAATTCATAGGGCATGCGTTGTTGACTTCTTGAAGCAACTCACATCCACTGATGCTTTGCAGAGGGAAAGTTGGGCTGGGTTGATAAATTCTGCAACCAAAGTGCTTATTAAAAAGGATAAATGCAAATCCACTTGCGAAAGCCCCTCCCCAGAATGAATCAATTAGGTTATTCTGTGCTTTTTCACTGCAGGAGTACTTGTGTGCTGCAACTTTTCTCTTCAGCTGCTCTGTAAATCATCAACCTGGAACACTACAAGCTACACAACGACTCTATGACCTGCTAGAACAATAAACTAGGGCTTTAAGGCCATCCATGCCACAAAGACTTGAGCATACACATTTCTTTGTGTAGCCTAGTGACAGAAGCGTGGATGTGCCCAGCACTGAGTGCTTGCTGGTCTGCTGTGATGGAGCAGGGCCTAAATACACACAGACACTTCAAACAGAAGCAGCTGTTAGCAAGCCTTCCTCTCCTCTGGAGGACACTTTACTTGCAGGTACCATGCGGGAGCTACTGTCTATAAATCCCACAGACCTTGTTCTTTTACCAGCAACCAGGAAGGGAGCAGTAAGCACCTGCCAGGTTGGTTAGAAATCAGCTGAGTGACAAGGCTGTGGAAAAGCCGCCTGAAAATAAACAGGCAAGTAATAAAATGCACGAGGGGCCTCCCAGGGTGAAGTTGGCCTGTGTCTCCAGTTGCACGCAATGCCCCTTTTTCACTTTCCTGTACTGGGCATGGGTATTTGTGGGGGAAAAAAGAACAAAAAATAGGGCATTAGCAGAGAGAGGAATAACATGGCTATGTGCTGTTCACCTGTCTGTGTTTGGCATGCGACTGGCAGTCCATCTCTGACTCCAGGATGTGAGGTGCAGCCCTCCATGCTGCTGCTGCTCCTGGAGAGAAGAACATTTATCTGTACTTCATTTATTTTGTGAATGTCATAAGCTCTGAGCTACTCAGTGGCTCAGGGCAGGGGACGCACGAACACCCTGGGAGCCTGTTGTGTCTCACAGCATTTCTGTGACTAGCAGAACAGGGAACCCATGGCACAAACAGCACAAGTGGGTTTTCTTTCCCAAGCATCATTCCCTTTAGGGAAACGGTGGGTTCAATCTGACAAGAGGAAGCTGTCTGCCACAACAGTCCTCATGTACCAAGTGTGGATCTGTTACATTATTTTAGTGCTCTCTAGGGAGAAAGTGAGGGCATGTGAAAACTGATAAATAACTGCTCCCAGTTCTGGGTCTCTTATATAAGATGCTGATTATAGAAACTGAGGTGCACAGGAGTGGGACAGAATGCAAAGATCAGACTTTTTAAAGGAAAGTAGGTCTGGGTTTTTAGGGGGGAAATGGAAATTACCAGCCTTCATTGAGGCTCAATAAATTCAAATAAAAGGGTGTTCTGTTGTTCTAGCAAGTCCATCTTGGCCACAAAATGAAGTCCAAGAGTCCTTTGCTGAGAAAGTACCACTTGAGGAAGAATTTCACTTAGAATTTCTCCTTAGTGATGAGATGATGTAAAGTAAAACCAGCTGAGAACAGAACTGAGAATAAATGACTTAATAGCACAAAAGCTAAACAAATACTGTTCCAAAGTATCCTACTATTCATATTCCTTCCCAAGCTTGAATCATCACAACTGAGTAGAAAGCAATTTTGTTGTCAACCTGGCATTAATATTGGTTAGTGAAAATTTTTTGCTATGTTTTCCTTTCCTTCCTTTTAACTCCAAAACCAATACTCAGGGCAATTTATAATCCTAAGCAGAAAAAGAAAACATCTTATACACTAGGCTTAGGCAACTTCAGAAAAGAGCAGGGTTTGGACAGTGTTAAGGTAGGCTACTATTTTAATTCTATGCACAATTGCTCACAGAAAAATAGGGAAGTGCTTTGTAATGTAACACAATCTCGGTACAGAGAACAAAACATGTTATTTACCATCTCTTTCTCTTACAAACACGGACTATAAGTTGCCAGTTCCCTACAACTGTTTTATTATAGCCAAGTTATGAAAGCTGTGGGAATGGAAGTGAGCTTTCTATTTCATAATGCTAGTGCCCAAGCCCCATATATCCTCAGCACAATTGTATCAGTAATGTGTGCATTTACAGACTGTGGTGAATGTCTGGAGGATGCTCTTCAGTATGTCCTATTAATGAACTGAGCAGTCTCATGCACTAAAAAGCAGACATGTAACAGTAACCTAATTGAGTTGCATTTCCTCAGTTTGTTAACCTTATTGGATTTCTGACCACTATACTGGAAGCAGCATCATAACTTTCTTTGTAAGTATATTTTTGATGCCTAAGTGATAGAAAATGTCTTTTAGATAAATTATTGTCTTAATGTAAGATTTTAGACCAGAAGGAGAGGGCTAGATATGGGAAAACAATAAGTAGGTGGCCAGGTGCTGGCTGATAGGCATGTTTGCACACCAATGGTATTTGTTTCTGGGTATTTTTCTTTCACTCATTTCTATTACATATCTAAATTTGAAGTGTGCTTCCCATGTAAATTCAGACATGAACACAATTCCTGACCTGAGAATCCACTTGTGTGATTTTGGTGAATCCCTCCTTTGAGCCAAGCTCTCTCTCATCCTAATTAGCAACAGTTTAAGTTGCAGTTCTTGTGCATAAGGCTTGCTCAATGAACAATCTCTACTCCAGTGGGACTCTTTACATGCCTATTTTAGTGCTAGCATTTGTCAGCGGGTCAGTACCCACTGGGATGCTGAAAAAGATCTATTCAGTCTAGACGCACATTATTTTAGATCACCCCAAGGACCACTGTGAAGTGCATTGCCAGCTAGTAAGCCTCTGGCTCATGTACTGCTGGAGAAGGTCTGCTGGATTGCCTCATCTGTGTGATGTGTCCCAAACCACAGGCATTTCATGGGTGTTAATGGGAGTTTGTTCACCTTGTGGCACCGCATAGAGAATGAGAAAGATGAATATGTGTCTGTATTGCAGTGTTTTCATGAGGCAGGATTGATAAATGAGAAGGAGTAAAGCTCCACTAACATAGCTTTTGTAGACTACAGGTTGTGAGTACTCTGTTATGTGATCTTCCAAATGGTGCATTTTCAGGACAGCAACTTCAACAGTGCATAGCTGGGAGATCTAATCCCGAAGCTGCATATGGCTGTACAGGAATAGGACAGTCTTTTCATGTCCATATGTCCACAAATAAAGCAGAATCTGGCCCCAAATAACTGTGGCTTCTTGCAAATGGGGCCATCATTTCTTACAGTAGTGATGAACTGACATCTTGCCAAGTGACCTACAATTTCTCCTTTCTCTCCTGCAAGACTGCAAAAGGAGGAGCAAAAGAAGCAAATACTGCTTCCTTCATGTGACAGTCCTGTGGAGAGGAGAGCAAAGGGGATATAAGTGGTGTGTCTATGGGAGTTTGTATAGGTTTCTGTGTTTAGCAATGTGTTGTTCTTGGTGTTTCTTTTTTTTTTTACAAGTCATGAAAGGAGAGTATTGTCCTGTAGGTAATGAAATATTTTTGCAACCAAGTAATCCTTGGGTATAAAGAAACCTTTGTGTACTGGCAGTTCAACCACAAAGATGGCAGAAATAGGTGCCCTATCTAGATTTTTGAAAAAGGATTGTATTTATTGGATAAGGTGAGGTTTTGTTAGCTAGGCCACCTTATTCCTGCAGGGAATCCAAAGGAAGAATTTATGTTAAATGTAATTTGATGATAACGATACTTTTTTAATAGAGCACAGAATACTGTGCTATCTAAAGCTGAGTCCATTTCTTCAGCTCAGAAACGCTAGTATAAGCAGAAGGTGTTTTCTACTCTACTGCAGCTTCTATTTCTTACTTTTTTTCCTACTGTATTTTAATATTGATTTACAGACTTGACTTAACTTACACAGCTATCCAGTTCCTCTCACCAGTAACTCTAGACTTCTAACTAACCAAAACAAGCTTGTTATGTTCATCAGCTCTGTACAGTGCAACTAGGACAATGAGAACTGAGATGTCATAAAGACTTATAACTGGATTTTCAGAGTAGGTGAGGGCAGCTAGCACAAGGTATTGATTTCATGAGAAGCTCTAGATTCTCTGTGCACATTTTAAAAAGTGCCACAGATTCTCCAAAGTAGCATTTTTCTCAATATCTACTTCAGAAAGATCAGCTCAGTGTTTTTTGAGAAACTGAACAAAAAATAGATGAAGCTTTCCAAACAGAGATTTTTCTCTTTGTCAAAACAAAAATATGAATAGCTAATCTAGGACGTCAGCAGGATCTAACTCCTGTGCAAAGTCTTACCCAATGGTTTAATACACCCTTCAGAAAGTGTCATAACCTCAGTACCACAGAGATACCACCTCACTGAAAGTGCCACAAAAAGCTTTGCTAGATTTAAATAATTTGGTGTTTTGGTTTTTGGTGCTTTTTAAAAAAAATCACCTCAATGTGTAACATCTACAGAAACTCAGGAAAACAAACAAAAATGCTTTAATATGCTTCAAAACAAATTTGCAGATGGTTTGGTCAATATCTCTTTAAAATGTATGATTAAACGAAGCCCTGCTATTTTAACTACTCCAAATAGAAATGCAACCATTTAGTGATAGCTTTTTTTTTGTCTAGTTTGCAATATTTCTTGAGATGAGCCTTTGGTTTCAAAGGGAGGTGAGCTGTTCTGCTCCCATCGCTGGGATGCAAATTCTGAAGACTAATTATGCCATTTTCATGTTTCCTAGTTGTTCAGTGCTTTGCTTCTGATAAATTTAGCAAAATTTCCAGCTGTACTGAGACTATGGAGACTTGGGGTTAGAGCTTGAATAAAGTGTAACTTCTTATTTTCTGCTATCCGGCTCTGAATGACAGTTAATCATACTAAACCCACACATTTTCTACTGTGAGTTTTTATGGGAGTTTTCACTTAAAGTAGATTAATTTTCAACAAATAATTTCAAACAAAGAACTTTAATCAATGTAATTATTTCGTTTTTTAGTGAAACTATTTTCTTTGTTTTTTCAAAGAAGGATTTATTTTTGCACTGGTCAAATTGAGTATGTTTCCTGGGAAAGATCTGCAGTTGCTACAATCAGATAGGCAAAGACAAAGGTAAATGCAAAGGGATCTTGTCTATCAAATGTGGGGTCAATTGCAGGAATTACTTGGCCAAAAATTGCAGGTTTAAAATACAATTTCCTGTTAAATATTCTTTGAGTTATTTGAAGAAAGATTTCGTTCTGAAATCTCATTTTGAAATTCCATTTGAAACCAGCTGTACTGAAAGTCAACCACAGTTGCATACTGACTCTGCATCCTCAAAAGTTAAAACCCCAGTTTCTATTAATTAATTTATTTTTTTAATATAAAATAGCAATAGCATGCTTCCATTGTCAGAGGAGAACTTCTTCCTGAACCCATTCTATTGGTGCAGAGCACAGTAACTACTACTGGCTACTGAACTAGCCACAAGAAAGTGTGCTAAGGAAAGTGCTCTTTGATGAAAGTTCAGCACCGGCATGGGCAAATTTGCATTAAACTGAATTTTAATCTGCTGGTAATGAAAATCTTGTAACACAACTCTGCCTTGAGGGCTAAACAAGTCCTCAAACAGTTGCATGTTTATTATGCTTAGGTGAGAGCTGAACTTTTAGGTGAGGACATAGCAGGAGGGTTGAAACTAGATGATCATTGTGGTCTTTTTCAACCCAGGCCATTCTGTGATTCAGTGACTTATGAGAAAGCAGATAATTTGAATAGCATGCTTTCTGCTGATTGCCAGAAATATTTACATAACACATCTATATGGACTGAAGCTCTTTTTCTCCACTACTTGCAAGCATATGCACTAACTTCTTACTCAGCACTACCTGGAGAATATTTTGTTTCTTCTCTGACATGGAAACCAACCTCTGAAGTCCCACTCCTGCATCTAGGTCCTAAGAAAGTGAGGGGAGGAAGAAAGAAAAGAAATATCATCCCTAAAATGTGCTTTATAAACTTATGCATAGGTCAAACATGCTTTACGTTTGTACCACAGACTGATGGCTTTTCTGTCAGCTCTCATTCGTCATCACAAGGTGATCAATTTGAAATTAATCTGCAAGGGGTAGAGACATTTTATTTTCATTGGTTTTATCCTGCTTATTTTCTTCTGCTTGCCCAAACAGTTGTCATTAGAGCTATTAGAGCAATGCCGATTTATATGAGCAGGTCATTTGGGCTTTCTGTCCTTTATTTGGATAAAGGCATGTTAGCATGAGAAACGCTGAGTTTATCAGATAGTGATACTTTGTAGTTCTTCCTCTCTTGCCCCTTCTCCAAAGCTCCTCGACCCTATTAGCAATCTAGTCAGCAACTCCCGTGTCTCCCCTTGTTCTGCAATTTCACACACTCCTGCTACCGTCTGCTACGTTTCTTTTTCATGAAGCTTCTCTCTTCATATCTTTTGTAGAGTAACTCCTGTCATTATGCTGGTAAGAAAACCTTTTTATCTATTTAGTATTATGATAACCACTGCAAGTGTGGGGCAGTTGATATTTATGGGGAAAGAAATAATGAACGAAATGATTGGAAAAAAATTATGTTCCCAACAAAGCTGCTTAACGAGCTGTCACTAAAGACATTGCACAAGTGAATCTGCATACTTTTGTGTATTTCAAAATTTTTCATCAATATTTATATTATTAAGTCTATATTACTGTTTCATTAGAGAAGTCTACCAATATTTCAGCATTACAGTAGAAATGTTTATTTCAAAGGGGTCATTCTGAGAGAAAGTAAAAAGTATCTTAGTATTACATCCGTCATGTAAAGGCACGACATGAAGCCATTTGTCTTCATGAATTTTGTTCACTTAGTAAACCTAATTTCTGGTCACAGCAATTTTAATGTATTGATTTCTAGCTTTGTACCTGCCCGGCAAACAAGATCTCATCATAATTCCTGTCTTGTGTCAGTAAGTTCTTTCCTCTCAAGCAAATAAAATATTTTAATCTCCATCCCTTATCATCTTTCATACAGGGCTGTATGCCACTCACTACATTTGCTCAGAGTTGTAGATCTGGGTGTGCTAAAAGGAGAAGCATACATGTGATCCTGTCCCCTTTAACTCTTGTTAGCTGATGTCTTGTTTTCCCAGGCCATACCAGTTTGCAAATGCACAGTTTCTCCATTTCCAAGGGGACTATGTCAGCCTTGACTTATGCCTGCATTGCAGTCACAGAAGTGGCTGGACTGCAATACAGAGACGCATGAATAAGTTTGGTGACTAGGAGGTGTTCAGCCACAGTAGGGAGCTCAGTGCAGACTGATGTGATTTTTGGTATCCAGGCTACCTGAAGCATCTCTAGCTTAGTCTGCACTCCTTCATATACTCTTGTGCTGATGCAGTTTTAGCGTTTTACCTCTTCACAACACCCTCTCTGACATAGAACATTGTACATAATTATCAGGTGTAGCAATTAAGTTAGTGAGAAATTAAAAATTTAAATGTGAGTCTAAAGGGTCAATAAAATTATGGATGTTCTATATTCACAATATTCTGTATTTCTGTAGAAAACTGACTGCCACCATTCAGCTAATTCTGGATTTAGATCACAGTCTTTAAATATTTACTTTTGCAGGTTATTTGCAAAGAAATTTAAGATAGTAAAAATCCTCCATGTAACTTCAAAAATAGGAATAAGTTGAGATTTACCCAGGTTTAGCCCATTAATCCATTGTTCTTGTATTCCTACAACCAGGTATTCTGATTACTACACTAAGCATACTAAAGAAATGTAGATATTTTAGCTATAAGTAATACCTAATAAGGGAGCAGTGTATTTATTTAAATTGATTAAAAGGCCAGCAGATGTTGCGCCAAGATTAGGATATAACAATTTTGTGTCTATCTGAGATCTTCTCCTTGAAAGATTTGTTCTTGAGAGTTGTGTAACACCTTTCCTTCTGCACTGACCTCTGCGATAATGTGCATCAGGAATTTAATAATATCAAGAGAACCAGACAGCAGCCTGGGAGTTAGTACAAGGGCACATGAATAATGGCATTATTTCCAATCAGAAAATTTCTAAATTTAAATCTATTACTGAAACCAACAGCATACTGTACAGCTCTGCACTTTATGTATCTACACAAAACTGGTGGATAACAGGAAACAATAAGGCTTGAAGAAAAGGCCAGGGAAGAAATCTCCATGAGCATTTAGAAGGGAAAATTCAATTCAGTTCAGTGTTATTTTGCCTTCATTTCAAGGTGCTCTTAAATATAAATATCCTTCCCTGAATAAAGTGAAAGGGTAGGTCACAACATGAAAAAAAATACATGAATAGGAAATTCTTACTTGCTTGGAGCTGTTCACTGTCTTCAACGGAGGCATTTCATACAAGGCAAGGATAGATGCTTGCACTTGCTATCTGTATACACCATAACAAAATGAAGGGCTAGACTTTTGCTGAACTTAAAATTATCCTCAGCAAAGCTATTGGTGTGAATCCCAGAATGCAGGGCAGTTGTGCACAGCTATACATGTGAGCATTTAAAACAAACCTTACTTACACATACACGTAACTGCCACTGAAAATGTTCAACAAAGTGAAATGCTTTGAATGGGATTTTTGTGAGTAAACATGGCATAATTGAAAAGCAGATCTGTTGTTATCATTAAGGGTGTCCTCTGCACCTAAGAACACAAAAGTAATAACCTGCAAAATTAAGATAGCGCAAATGTGATTCTACCATTTCCCAGGAGTGTCTGGCTTTGCAACTTTAGCAGTGTCTGCACAATGCAGGGCTTTTTGTCTTTTATGATAATAAATTAATTCAGCATTTACAGTCAGGGAGTTCTAAAAGTAACAATGCTTATTCACTGCCAGAAAAAAAATGAGACTTTCCCCTCCAAATAGCAGGAAGATGATCCAAAACTAATAATGTTAGCAGTGATTCCTGTTCTGTTTTTACGTGGTCAAAAACAGGAAGCTGCCTGACATTGATAAAAACCTCTCCTGAAAAGTTGTCATCTATATTCTAAATTATTCAGTTGAATGCATTGTCATTACATGCATACTAAACAGGAAGCGGGTTCTTAAAAGATGAGCTAAGAAAACAGTGGGTTTGCAGTGCTGTCTTTTTTCTTGATTTTGTTTCTTTTTTCTTTTTTTTTTTTTTTTGTAGAGAAATGTCTTATGTACTCTTTTCCACAGTGCATTAACCAATTGTAGACATGAAAGATGAAAAACACCTATTACTTCATTTAAATCTTCCCTTAACTATTGTCATAGCTGGCAAACCCACTTCTTTTTAAACACAGCTTGCAAGCTCCTCTTTCATTGTACGGAGAGTATGTTGTACAGTAAAAAAATAATTAAAAATAATCACTGTAACTCCCTTACCTGTCTAGGAGATGTGTATTTCCAAATTCCACGATCACTGCCAGGACATTTGTGAATGATGCTTTTATTTACTGCAAATGTAGTTTCCTCTCCTGCTCTTGTCCATAAATCCATTTCCATAGGGCTTCTCTTGTAGTGTCTGCAAAACACAAAGCTGACAGTGAACACATGCTGTGTTAGAAAGGTAGAATCACCTGGATTTTATTAAAAGAGAAGACAAAGTAGGCTCACAGTGAAATACAGCACTACGAGTGAGCTTTTTCTTTTTGCTTCAATACATTATAAACAGCAACTTTATTGGCAATGGGGAAATGGTAATTTATTTCTCAGCGTTGTGATGGGGGTTTTAGTTCTAAAGGGAGATCATGCAAAAAGTAGGCTGGCAGAAGTCGCTCTTTGCATGTGTATGGAATAAACTACTGAAACTTAACTGCATCATCAAGGATAATCTTTTTTATGTATTGAAAACAAAACAGGCTTTGACTTCAGTCTTAGGTTGATGATTGGAAATCAGTACAAGCTTCACTGAAGAACCAAAATTATCAATATGTACCTGGTTACATACAGTCACCTGTTCTTGGGACACCTGCACTCTGTTGCAATATCTGCTTATATTTTCAGCTTCCTTTAGGCCAGGGGAAGCTTGTTGTGAGCGCTAAGATGTCAAGAACAGTGAAAAAAGTATCTCAGATAATAGGTCCTTGGAGAATCAAGAATTTTAACCCACTGTTTAAGTAGAATGACTTTGAGTCTTCTCCAGTTTTGCCTTTCTTATCCAGTCACTCAAGATGAATTTCTTTGTAAGGGGCAGCAACATCGTAAGATCAATTCAGACAAAAGATCAAGGCTGTTCTCTTAGGAACAGCAACAATTTTTTTTTTTTTCTTTTTTTTTGTGATGCCACTTGCATCCATTATCTCTAATAAGAATGGACTGAGGTTGACTGGGTAACCAGCATTCTTCAGGATGGCAAAGTAGGGAGCATGTACAAAATGTTTAAATAAACTCAGAGAGGATGGTCTGTTGTAATGTAGGAAACAAATCTCCAAGGTACTACTATTGTATCTGAGGTTCCAGAAAACTATTCAAAACTATTGACTTGGGAAAGTGTGTGATCACTTAAGTGAAAATGGTCATGAAGCTTCATTTTGACAGTTCTTCACTTTTAAAATATTAAGAACCAATGAAGAATTTCTACTACAGTAGAATAATACAACGTTTGGAATTCCTTCTCTGTTTCATTACACTAGCATAACACTAAAAGGAATTATTGTTTGGTTTTCATTTTGGATGTATTCCCCTGTTCTCATGCAAATGTTAGGCAGAATTGCACCATTTAATGGTTAAGAAAAGAGAGATAACACCAGGAAAGCTGGTTTCTCACCTATGTCTTACTGTCTGGAGTTCTAAATTAATTATCCATCTTAAGGGAAAATGGATGTTCAATAGGGAATAGGGGACAGCTGTTGAAGAAGAGTATAAATAGGAAAAGATTTGAGAGCAAAAGAAAAACGTGCACTTTGAACTAGAAATATGTGTAAGGCAGAAAAATGTTCTTGGTTTCAGACTTTTCGGATGAACTTGACTCTAATACACTGAACATATCAAGCCCTAGGTTTTTCTAGTTCGTTTTGTTTTAATTCTTTGGTGATAAAGCCTGGGAGAAGGACAAAGGTGTGCTCTCACCAGGAAGGTCCCTACATATGGAGGTGTGTGACCTATGATACTGGGGCATGCCTTGTGAACACCCTGCTCTGCAATCTGTCTGGGTGTGTCACAGTGCATGTGACTTCTGAATACAAGTGTGAGAATTGCACTCTGCATTGAAGTTACCTCAAGTTGCAATAAATATTCATTTGCCTACTGCTGCAATGCCAGTGCTTGCCTGTGTACACAGTGATTCTGTATGTACAGTAGGTCTGCGTTTGCATACACACTTGATTTCTAGTATCCATAAAGACAAGACCAAAAGAATACAAGATTTGCAGCAGTGATTAGATTATTGCTCTACCACAATCAGAGTCCAACAGTGTTCCAGATGATATGTTTAGAAGTAGGAAGTTGTGTGAAAGTATCTTTTGGGGCATCTTTATTTGCATCAATATGAGGGTTAAGTCCTGATGCATATTATACATGCATATCATATCCCATCTAAACATATCTGTGTGTTTAGACAAACTGTGACTATTACTTCAATATTCTTGGACAGACTCTCTTGTACTGTATTGCTCCTGCTTTAATCATCATCAACAACTTAAAAGCCTGTATCGGTTTAACTGAACAGAATTCAAAAATCCACCGACAAGCCCTGAGAATTTAGAATAGTTTAAGCTATGCTGATGTCTCTTTGGGCCTGATGGAAAACCACATAGGACATTACTGCCCATTTATTCATTCTATGAGAATAATTTTTGCTTCTTCCATGTCTTGATAATCATAACATCTGAATCACTGTACAAAAACAGAATCAAAATGTAGGCCAAATGATTAGAGAGAAAGATGAGAAATACTAATTTCTTCAAATTATGGTTACCTGGATATGATAAAAGAAGAGAGCAGGATCACAAAGAGAACTTGATTATTACTATTACATCTTTTTAAGCAAGTAAAGTTAGGAAAATGAAAGTTTCTTTCAAGGCTTAAAGTAGACTATGAAAACTGTACCACAGAGTTTCACAATAACTTCTGGAAAAAAAAAAGAAATAGTCAAACTTTCGAAAGTGGAAAAATACACTTTTTTCAGACAATCATGAGTTCTGATTGAAAGTTTTTCCCCAACTGTTACTTCTGTCACATCCTTTTTCTACCAATATTTAACTGGGGATTCCATACACAAAAAAGTCTTATCTGTTCTTTCCTTTCTTCAAACATTAGTGATTGGAGTTCCCTCTTTTATGACTTTCCAGATAAGTACAATTTTAGATTAGAGTGTTTCGAATGTGCCAGCTTTAATTAAGAGTTGCTAAAACAAGATTTCATACCAGTCCTGCAGGTGCACATTGATTGTTATGAATCTGAATTATTTTTATTTTAGTTAAACTTTTTTGTGGCTTGTTTATCTGCATTGACATATAGAATTTATACTGCAGTAATGGCTGTTGTGCAATATGGGAAAGAAAAATTAGTTAGCTCTGAATGCTCTGCTACCAGAAACCTCACGCAGCCAACTAGATGCTTTCTACAATGCCTAGAGACACACGTCTGAGAAAATGGTTCAGAGAAGTCAGTACATTGAGCCATCTAAGTTGAATGATTTGAAGGTTTCTCACATTTCATGTCAGAAGTATTTTAGAGTGTTGAATCTGGCACAATTCAAAGCCATGAGCCTTCTCTTGGGGACAGATACTTCTTGGGGAGAAGCAGGCTAATGCTATGGTCCTCAATACAGTCCTTGAGCTGCTACATTTACTTCAGGCTTTCATTGATGAGCTCTGGTTGAATTAGGTTCCTGGCTCTGGAGATATAAAGATTTACACTGCTTGCACTTGTGCCTATAGATTCTACAGTCTATTGTCTCCTAAGTATAATATAATATTCACATGACTTCAGTTATCTATCCAATATATAAATTTCAGCCTAACTAGTATAAATTATCAGTACCTTTTGTCTCTGGCAGTCTTGTTTGCTGAAGGCACAACGTGGTGCCAGCAGGTCTATCCAGGTTGGTCATTAAAGGCACAAGAGCAGCTCATGAGAAAAGAAACAAGAGAAAGAAACAAGAGTTTTTCTCTTTTAGGTAAGGTCCTGCTCTCCCCAGCTTTCTACATGAAGCCAGTTGAGTGAAATGCTACTAGAAATAAGGAAGAGATGTCAGTGTACACATGTTGTGTTTTTGTTTTTTTTAAAGGTCCTGGAGATTGAATATGTGGGGGAGGACAGTGTACAAGAAGTAAAGGAGAGTGCAAGGGGAAGTGTGTTAAGCCTACAGAAACTGAAGAAGGCTCATGTCTGATACAGCTAGATCACAGGGCACTGAGCTAGGGAGTGCTCAACTTAAGCAGTAATAAGACGCCCACCCACTCTTAGAGAACAAATAAAAACAATTGCTGTGCAAGAATATGTGAACTTTTTTGTTGTTTGTTTCCCATGGTTGAGGGAGTTCGTGTAACTCTTTAATTTAAATCAGTGAAATTGGAGCAACATAAAATTAATTTCTCTGGGTCTTGTTCTGTAAGCATCAATTATAATGTCTAATCTACATGAGGTGCTGCTAAGATTAGCAACCACCTCTTTATTATGCTGCACCCAAAAGCATTCATGTGTGTTCAGATTAAGATGTAAGATCATACAAATACTAATTCTGGAATCAACAAAATGTTAAACAGTTGTATTTTTTCATCCTAAGGGTATAAACATCTTTTAGATTAGACATTTGTGTTCCACTAAAATACATTTTTAAGAGAAATTTCTCAATAAGATCTTTGCTTGACAGTGAGTAAAAAAACATACTATCAGAAGGTACAGAAAAAATAAAGGACTAGCCTTTATTTACAGCAGTGATGCTGGCAATCAAGGCTTTGATACTTGCTGAAAGAATTCAACTGATATTAGAGGAAGGAGGGATGCACTGCTGTGAACATGTAAATCATTTATGCTCTCAATTAAAAATTTACTCAACACCTACAGTTTTTGCCTGAGATGTCGCTGGAGGGGTGGGGAAGGGAGGATGGAAAGGTAACTCTGCTGCCATCTCCTCCAAGGACATATGTTACCTTTTAAAGGACATTCAGTTTTGTTCTATATTTGCCGTTTTATCAGCCTACTAATTATCTTTGGAATAAATTTGTGTATTTTTGTCTTCCTTTCTATTTTGTTCCTTCTCTGTTTTCTTTTTGTTATATCAGATTGTTGCTTTTGCTTTAATGTAGCGTATTTTAACTCTTATTTTCTACCATGTCCTCTTTCTTGTCATTATTCTTTCTTGTGTGTTCTCTCCTTCATCTGCTTGTGCTGCTTTCCTTTTCCACAGAAATTATCTTTGTTGTATTAGTCTCTCTCCCTCCACTCCTTTATTTGTGTTCAATTCTCATGACTCTGTTTACTCATTTAGGTAGGCAACTCAAAATAACCAAACAAAAAGAACATAACATAAAAAAATACAAGGAAGCAAAACAAAACAATCATCCACTATCACCATGT